TTTGAGTGGTTCGGAGGTCATGGAACCTCGAAAGGAAGCAACGGCTAGAATGACGCTGGGCTATCAGCAGCCAAGCCAACAAAAACACAAATCTGCTGAACGAGGCGCTTCTTGTTCATGGCCTGCAGCCACGATGGCGGGAGATTAAGGCTGCGGGCATGGGATGCCACCCTTACTTTGTTCGAGACAGCCCGGTGTTTTCGAGGGCCATGGGATCTTCCAAGTTGGTGCTCGGCCTGCTTGGCCGAACGAACCGGGCAGAGCTGTCTATCATTGCCTCCTCTCTTGCAAGCACAGAAAGCCCTATGCCTTCTGTTAGAAGCACCTGTGCAGCATCCTGAAGAAATGTAGGGGAGCTCCTTATGTTGCGCCCTTCTACTTTGCAGGCCCGAGGCGCTTGAGTCAGGAGCATTCAAGCTTGGCTGGTGACTGCAGAGTCTGGCCTTGCCTTCATCACCTGCTTGGAGAGCTTCTGGATCTCCTTGTTGAGACCCTTCAGCTCCTCTGCGCTTCATCCACGACAGCCGAGCTGCTTCATTTTCTTGCTCTAATGAATTCTGAGCAGAGTTCGCGTTCATGCAGATGTTCATTGAAGCCGGTCTTCCATGTCCAATGGACTTCCCATTCGCCCCTCTAGCATGGGATCAATCGAGTTCAGCTCTGCTTGCGCTGTTTCGCGTACAACCCGTGACCCGTGCATCTCAGCTCGTGAAGCCCTTTTAATGATCCAAGTCCTTCGTAGCGGCCTTGAGCTCAGGACCCGGGGAGAGGTTGGAAAGAGCCTTGGTGCAGGCGACACGCAGTGCCTTTCTACACATAAGCCTTGCTCGTGGACTGCGTGCAGGTCAGCATGTAGCAAATGTATGCAAATGTAGCCATTCAGTTCAGACCTCGTCCGCATACGCCGGGAACTCAAGAACAAACTTGCGTTGAAGGCGCCAACAGCTTGCCACATGTGGTATGCTACGGCCCGCGTCGACCATCTGAAGCCCAGGTGTTGGGAGTGATGCCGGTACCGTCTAGTTACGAACCATCATCCACGCTCAACGCGGGAATCCCCAAATCAATCATCAGACCCCTACGCGGTAGGACAATGACCCTTGTCAGCCTGTGAGATCTTAAGTGTGCCCGATGGAACCCTGCCGAATACGTACATTGCACAGTCTCGCACACTTTGGGTGACCGTGGTGATTCCCCCTTAACACGCAGCTGTTCTGCCTCAGCTGCAGATCTGAAAAATCACAGTCTGGTGATTCTTTGATCAGTGTGGCTTCTCTACGCTTCTGCTATCATTGAAATAATCAAGCGTGAAACGGTCTCAATAGCATCCATCCCCAGGAGCCAACCCTCTGGCTGCGCATCTTGCAAACCTCTGCCGAGCGTCGCTGAGCTTTTTCTCAAACTCGCTGGTCATCGAGCCATACTGCGAATCGTACTCTTTCTGCGCGTCGCTCCTTGACTTCCGCCATCTATGGGGACGCTAGCTTAGTTCCTTGGGAGATTCAAGAAGCTATGATGCATGCCAGATCCGCTTTACTGAGGCCGTAATTAACCCTGACATGCTAAACTGATCGTCGTCGGGCGCAGCATACAAGAGATGAGAGTTCAAAACGCTGGATGCTCCACCATGCCTGTTAGAATCTCCCTTGTCCAAACAACTTTGCCTGGGCCGTGTCAAGTGCTGCCCCAGTGTTAGGAGCAACAAGTACACATGTTTTGAGCAAATCATAGCGGCCTTCTGCATACCCTAGGTGCTCGTAGGCTTGTACAACTAGACATAATTACTTTTAAGTAGTGCTGGAGCCTTTGTGTTGGCGTTAGTGTTGCACCCGCTAGAGTGTATGCCCCACAAACAATTTGGGTTGATCTTATTTAAGCGGCTGACTTGAAAACGCATTTTGTCGAACAATGCCAAAGTTAAGTTATTCCGGAAACTACAAAAACTGGACATTAAACCTGGTACCCTAGACAATGGGGGTATCCTGAGCCTCAAAAATTGACATTAATTCGGGTGCACATACAAAAGCGGGTGCAACAACAGGGCAAGGCAGGCTACAAATGCAAAGGGTGTCGCTTGAAAGTGCAAAGCGCCACCGTAGTCTGCAAATCAATTGTGTAGCCGTTTAATGTAGGCATGTTGGATACGTCATCCATGTGTCACCGTTTGGCGTACGAAGAGGGTGCCACCATGACTGTCCACAACTCCTTTGTGTCCACGGCTGTGCAAGCTGATGACTCCTTCAAATTCAATGGTAGGCTTGCGGTACTCCGCCTGTAGTGGCGCGCGCTTAGCCGTTTGCAGCCATGTTTTTTGCTGTCTCGCAGTGGCGCTGTCTTCTGTACTAGTGCGACAGTACGCACAGCTGGCGTTCCGGTGTCACTACCAGTACCAGTACAATACAAGTACTTTGGAGTAATTTGCTTCTCGGTCGGTTTGCAAGCTTCCGGCCGTACGACTTGCAAGTACGCTTATCGGTAGCTTGTGCTACGTGTACTTGGCGTCTCTATTGTCCTTACACAATCCCATGATGATATCCTTCGCCTTGCTCACTGCTGAGAGAGCTTTGGGAGGCTCAAGCGACTCTCCGCAATAGCAGGGACACGCACACAAGGGCACATATGAGCCTCAAAAGTAGCCTCAGTGCAGCAGCTAAGCAAAGTGAGCGGATCAAAGACCTGATCGACCAGTACGTGTGGCGAGCGCTCCTGGATGTACAGTAGTGATGCAGCAAATCTTTGAAGCTGCACGCGCAGGAGCTTGAACAGTGGGAACGGTGCTGTCAACGCAGCAAGCTATGCACTGCTTGCTCATAAGTTTGCAGAACTGAAGCTCTAAACTCGCGTCTGGAGGACTAGTGTACAGCAAGATTTCGAGAACGAGCCGGTTTCTGCGGAGCCTCCCCTAGGCCTGACAAGACTGTAAGTCCTGGAAGTCCCACGAAGGCCCGTGATTCAGCAACGCTTATGTTTTGCAATGCCGTGAGAAGTTTTGCGTGCCAGGCTCTGAATCTGGCTGGCCACAGAATCGGCTTCATCTGGCTTGGCAGCCGAGCTCTCGATGCCCTGCCACAGATCGCCAACGACTGACTACAAACATGTGCAAAGGACATGCTAAAAGCAAGTGTGCTGCGGCACGACGGCACGACAGTTGAAGGCTTGGGCTGCGCTTGCGTAAGCCAACAGAAAGGCCTGGAGGTAGCTCTGAAGATCGTCCAACCTTCGGGCTTGCATGTGGTGAGCGAGTTAGTAGCACATCGACATCAGCTTGTGCCAACATGCAGCAATGCTGAAAACTGCGCGAACACGACTATGAACATGCTGTTTTTTGATGCATGCCGCTGTACGCAGGCCCGGTAGAGCTTGGACGCGAACTTATGCAATCTTACAGCGGGACAGTCGTGAGCTCTGGAAGGCTCCTCCAACCCGTGCAACCAGTGCGTTGCCGCGGGACTTGTTGTTGGCATCAGACAGTGTCTCGGAGTACTCCTTCTGCACCTCTCTCAACAGTTCTCGAAGCAGTCAGATCTAATACTTTCCCTTCTTCTGTTTTTGCTTTAGGGCTGATATTCAGTTGATGGTCTGGGGAAACCGGGAGCTCACAGTACGGAGAATCGCCACATGAACATATGCACGGAGGGGTTGTTTTCAGTCTAAGACATGCTTGTGCTAACGCGATTGAGTTGTACAGCCTTAACCTTAACCACAATTCCTCCCTAAACAATCCCTGCTGAAGGAGTTTTGAGTGACGTGCAGCCCGGATCCAACGTTTTTTGTGTCCCAGCTTGCCTGCTGATACTCGTACAGGGCTTGCTTCTGCGCCTGGCAAAAGTGGACGAACGATTACATCCAGTTTCCAAGCGAATGTTCAGTTCTAACCCGATTTTTGCCATTGCAGCCCTTGGAAAGCAGGTGACTACTGTGCACCAAACTTTTCACTGCGCACTGAGGCTTCTCGAATGATTTTGCACGCCCCAATTTTGAGGCTATGTGGCCTCCACGCGCCCATTTCATCAAACACAACAGATTTACGTAACCTCGCACCTTGGTCGATAAGACAACATCATGTACCACAGCTGGTGCTCAGCCTACCAAACACCGCATTTGAACATGCCCCAAGGCTTGCTGACGTTATAACAGAGCACGTGTAAAGCCTGAACATCAACCTTGGAAAACAATGCTGCTGGAAGCGCTTCCGCACTGAGGTGGGCCTCTGTCAGGGGCTTGGAAGTCGTTGTCGACTGTGCTGCAACTGACACGATCAGCCTTGGGCTCCAAACATGTGGGGAGCTGGCTGCATGACCTCTATCCCTAAAGGTATCACCAGCTTGGTGCACTTCAGCAAGTGCTAAGTTAGCTGCGTAGGCTGGGCAAAGAGGGTTGGATACGGGTCAAAGCGCACGCGAGCTTCGCTGTGCCGATTGGCAGCTCTCGGGCTTGGGGCCTGCGAGGGGTTTCCCGACCTGGTTGAAACCCGACATTCGGCTGACGCTTCCAACAAATGCAGACAAGCACACGCGACACCAGCAAATGAACTAATTACAAGCTGAGACACGCTACGACTAGGCAGAAGGAATGTAGCTCGCAGGATGCGCAGTGAATACATCAAGCCCGTCATCAGATGTTATCAAATATGGTACATATGGCCACAAGAAGCTTCCCAAACCAAAATTAGGCGCACTTTCTTGAAACCAGTGTAGCCGAGCCGCGCGAAAGCCGCGCCCAGCATCATCTTTGCGTTCGAGGAGCTGCAGCAGGCACCACGGCAGCTGAAAATGCTGTGGAGCCGCGTAGCCAGGTCAGAGCGGCACACAAGCACATTTGCTTAGTTGATGACTGCCGTCCTTGTTGGCCTGGCGCCAACGCTAGCTAAAAGACGCTTCAGACGTCAGACCTCCCCCACATCGTCAAGTCATGTCTTAATCAAGCTGCCTTCCAACAAGGTTCCCTTGCACTCTCGTTCTGGGGTTTAGTGTGGATGTTCCTAAGACTTGGATCCCTGCGTCCACCGACGGAGGCATCTGCTGACAGCCGGTCAGAGACTCGAAGCAAGCCTCCATTGCAATCTGTTTGGCTGACTCATGTTGGGATGGCGTTGGCCAGCGGTGATTTCGGCAGCCCTTGCTGGCATTGTGGCAGCAATGGCATATGACCGCAGTAGCAGAGAATAGGTGGAGGAGGAGGGCCAGCAGGAACAGCAATAGCAACTAGCACCGCTGCAGTTTGCGCGGACAATCCTATTGGGAACGCAAAAGAATGCACAGGGCTGTGCTAACGAAATGCATGTGGAAGCCAGTGAAGCCAGCACACCAGCTGTATCCGATCATGCTTGGTTTCACATTGTCCTCCTTGGCTTCACCGCAAGGGCTCTGTGTTTTCATCGAGAGACTTCAATTCCATGCCAAGGCCACAAAGCTTGCCTTCTGCGACGTTCTCGACATAGTTGGCGTCGATCTTCGGAGGGTTTGCATCAGCATCGCCTTGGGTTTCCGGATTCCGTCGCACGAGCAACCGCAAACATTATCAAATATTGGATGGGATGCGAGGAATCAGCACTGTCCTGCTAGCAAACTGCGAATTAGATCTGATCCGCGCAGCGTCTGAACCTCCTTGCTTCTGTCCAGTGCGATCAAGCAGCAGCTGATGTCGAGGGATAGCCTGAAGGGCAAACGCCGGTTCCAGTACTGGTCGTCGTTGTCACCATAAACCTGCCGCTCTTGTAGGACCATGGCTAGAAAACAGCTGAACAGTGGCACGGCTCTAGGTCAAATCAAGTTGTGCAGCTCTTAAATCGCTGATTGTTAGGATGGTAGTCAGCAGTGAACCTTTTGCAAATGGGAAGATTGCCTAAAGCATTCGCATGGAGACATTCCATACCATGTAACATGCGTGAGGCATTGCTTGGTGCCTGGAAGGTAGGGCTGACAACTGTTGGCTGACAACTCCAGTGTTCCGAGGGCCCGACGCCGCCAATTCGGATGCTAACGGTGCGCATTCCGCTTGCAGAGTGTTTTTGCAGGATGAACCTGAAGCATGACTCTGTCAGCCGAAGGGGAAATGGAGCTTGGTACAATCCCATTTCGCAACTTGCGCAGTGCATGTGGTCCATGAAGGGCTGAGAATGCCCAACCTATAGGTCCCGTTTATTCCCCTGCAGCCAGGGAACTGCTCCGTCATAGCTTTGGACAGGTCATAGGGTGACCGCAATGACGTCAATGGCGGCGTTGCTGCTGGGTCAGATTCCGCCTCGCATGGTGCTAAAACCACTTAGAGACGCCTCGCTCTAAGGCCTCTCCAGTTGCACTATCCTAAAAGCTCCCGAGCATTGTTGCAGAGAACACCTATGACATGCTCCCAGTTACTGATCAATGCCCCTCTCCGGTAGCTGGCCCTTCCAAACTGAGATGCGGGCCACGTTGTGATGCGGCACCCAGTGGTTACAAGCCGCAAAAGATGAAACCTGGACAATGAGAATCTGATCAGTTCGCGCGAGAACAGGCCTCAGAAGCACCTCAACCCCCAAAATCCAGTGCTTACGAAAATGTTGTTCATTATTAGCCATTTCCTCGAGGCTCCTCCCAGCTCCGTGCAAAAAGTCTCATCCCAGCCAATCTCTACAACATCCGCCATGGATGCCAACAACACAAAGCTGGACTAGAAAAAGCAAATGCGGACTGAGAGGCGTAGACCAGGCTTCCTACTTTGTATCTCTCGGCCATGTTCACGAGATCCGCTAGGCCGGCGAGGTTGATCTCAAATGCTGACGGGCTGTGGAACATTACGTTTGTCACGCCTGAACAAAGCAGAAATGTTGCTGGCACAGAAAGTCAGTTTTTAGTGACTTCAGCGCAGAAGATTGGCATTCTGTCCCTTATATAATACGGTCACAGGTGACGGGCCAAGAGTGCACGGCAAGAGAAATCTTCTGATACAGTCGGGACTCGAAAGGACATTGTTTCCACCGGGTTGACAAGAAACCCCACCAGTCAGGATCATCTTGCTTCACATTGTATACAATCCAGGATCGCAAAGACAAGCTCGGCACAAAGTCTCGTGAGGCTTATGTAGAGTGTCTGCATGTTTGCAGGCAGGACGTGTTGCTCAACATAAAGAAGTCATGACAAGCTTGATCTCCAGACTGGAAAGATAGGTGGCAGTGCTGTGTCTAGAAACTCTGTGCGGCTGGGGGGCTTCCATAAAGCTCTGGTAAGAGGGTCCAAGCAGCGGCGGCTTGACCGCAATCACCATCTGCTTCACAGCATACCTGCGTTGCTGGAAGTCTATTACTATACCGTCATACCCAAGTCAAGGGTCTGTCAGGGCGTCATGCGTCGGCCTGTGTTTCTTTTGCGAGCTTCTTGCATCTTTCAAGCCCAGAAAACTGTAGCCCGACTGCATAAGGTTTGCAGGGGCCGCGCGCTGCAGCCAACATTAAAAAAGACGAAGGATCAAGCCGTTGCCATGTCTTCTGCTGTGAGACACACTGGGCATGAATCCCGAGCCCAGGTTGAACAATCAGTTCCAATCACAGGCTTGACTGTTTACCTGAAACACACTGAAAGATGGCTTCAAAGCAGCCCGCCCTGGTCTTGAGCATGATGCTTCTATGCCCCGAAGTTTCTCCATTCCCAGCTGCTTCGCGAAAAGCTTGCTTTCGATGGTGGCCGGGTCCCGGAGGTCAGCCTCGAAGTATCGCAACAAGCACTGAAGCGATATTTGCGGCTTCCTTTTTTGGAAGGTCTCGACAATAAAATGCTGCTGAGCAGGAACCATCTGACTTGCTGCCGCCTCCGAACCCCAACAGTCACCTGAAACAGTCAGATTGCTGGGCAGTCCAATCTTCGCCCATCTGTTCTCACACGCAACCCTGCTGAGCGATCCCCTCTGTAGACAGCTGAATGCTATGTGAAGCTGTGGAAGGTCCCAATCGATTCACCACCCCTACGTCCACGTACAGCTCTGACAGCATGAGGAACATAAAAAGGGCTTGTGCATGAACTAGACTATTCCATTGCGCTATAGGAACCCCAACAAGACAAAGGAAAGGTCTTTCTGCAGAAGCCAAACTCTGAGCCTGAAGCCCTTCACCCTAGCCGCTAGGCGTGCAGCTTGGAAAAGGAACTCACTCACATGAAGAACAAGCATATTTACGAGTACGACCATTTAAGCATTGGCAAAAGAGATGATAATCATACTGACAGAAAAATGGCCTGCTAAAGACAAAGCTGTCACACCTACAGAAAACCACATCATTACTGCTAACTGTCATGCTGACAGCTATACCTGCTCGTTACCGAGGACGCGTATGTCAATTTTCTGCCCTGCCAGTTGTCAAGGGCAGGGGGGAGCCCCAGGTGGAAAGAAGGTGCCACATTACAAGGCGATAAATCTGAAACTCGGGAATCCCTAACGCATCGCAGCTCCAAGTCTCCAAAGAAGCATTGAACCACTCAGGACCAAGAGGAAACAAGCAGACAAGAAGATAGGGACATCAGATATCCCCCAAAAGCTTGTGTTTAGAATTTTGCCCCTACAATTTTCTCAACTGTCTCCCAACACGCCCAGCCAGGCGGCTAGGAGATTCACGTCTGCTGCCTCGCTGGGCCGAAGGTCCAAAGAGATCACAGGCAGCGGCTTCGCTGCTCCCTGCCAGGTATGTAAGAGTTTCCCTTTCTGCGGGTACCTAGGATCATAAGAGCTATGGTGATATGGGGTATGTAGGCCTGGCAGTTTCTTAGAAGTGGTCCTTCGGTACGCCAGGAGTTCCCGGACTTTCTGAAACTCTGCTTCAAGGACTGTCAGAAAATGATCGTGCGCATCGGATCAGCTGTCAACTGTAGGAGATCTTTGCGGCATTTCATCTTTTGTGCTTGACTAAGAAAGCTCTTACAACATTTTGACAGCAGACCCTGTGAAATAATACCTAGAGACGCAGTAGTACTACGCAGCAAAGGGGCTTGCTAATACTGAGTTGCGGGTGACAAAAAAACGCCAGCACACATGCCCCCCCCCCCCTACGCATAAGCAGTCACAGAACCATCAATGACCAGCATACTCTGCGAGCCCGACGTTGCTTTATGATGCGCATGCTATGGAAAACCACGCTTTTGGGGGGGACTGCACCTGCGCTACTCCTTTTTGAGCACTCGCTCGAGTATGAGGCTGCATGCGGATGGACTAATTAGCGTGCGTTGCAACCAGGTTTCGTATGGGCGTCTTCAGAACAATTGCGATGTCAAAGAAGCTTTCTGTGACACCTTGTTGCCTTGCTGGCTATAATTACAAAAACCACACAGTCTGCATGCACGAATTTAAAACAGCTGAATTAGCTGCACACTATTGCACCTGCTCAAAGAAGGGTTTAGTGGTGCCAGGCCTGGGAGCCCTGCGCTAATGATGTGACCCTGCAATGAGCACGCACCTTTGAAAAAAACAAATATGTTCTGATTTAGCCTTCTCATGCCAACGAGCATGTGCATGCTTCAGAGATCTGGGAGGGATTTCGTTCATCCACGGCCATGATGCTCTGTGATCCTTCGTCTGCCTGGGACGGACAACTGCATGCGCATGTGAAGCCCTCCCATGTCACCAGCAGCTTCAATTACAAGGAACTAACAAGACGTCAGAAACTGAAGAGCAAACCGCATACCCTCAAACAAAAGCTAGCAGGTTGCCAGGAGCAGCAGCGAAGGCAGCAGCCCCGAGGCGGCTGCAGCAAAGCCAGGCCCAGGGACGGGCATTGCCCACCTGGGTTGCTGTATATGGGTTGATCAGGGAATAGGTCGGTCACTGCTAAGAGAACAGCCATAGGCTCTTTTGAGGGTGCGCTGGAAGTCAGGTGTGGATGTTTCTGGAAAAATTACCTGGTATAGCTTGAATTTGGATTGTTCGCAGCTGAAGCTACAAAGCTGCGGTTCCAGCACATGGTGTCTGCATTTGCACGAGTCATCCAAGGTTTGTTACGACAGGAAACTCGTCATGGCACTATCAACCTGTGCTTGAATAAAAGAGTAGTAAAAGGCTCCCGCTGCCGGATCTAAGAACAGCTACCGCCTCGATTAATTAACACAAAGTGGACGTCCGCAATGCTCCAGGCTCCGGGTGTCCAGGACTGCTTCCAAACGAAAGCAGCGCCATCTGCCGGGAAAACGCTTCTAAATGGACATGGAAGACTTGTTCCACTCAACTCAGAACCTTGCCTGCGATTGTCCAAAAAACGTCAGGCCTGCATCTCTAAACACCCTCGGCCTGATACCCTGCATTCTTATTATGTGGTGCCCAATATCATCTTCTTGCCGACCTCTCACTCTGCAAGCCGTGCTCAGCCCAGCCGCTCGCCCGCAGGCACCCACTGGTGTGTTTGCGAGCAGCGCTCGGTCCGCAGGAGCTTCCCATCCTCGGCTCCCACATCCGCTGTAGTGGGCTTTACATGCTACTTGTGCATCCTTCGATTTCCACTGAACACACCTGGCCAGCCCACAAGATTTCGGCTGTGACTGCCATCGGCCGGGACAAAAACATACTGTTTCAAGAGTGCCTCAGAAATTGTCCAATCCAAATACCTAGCAAAGTCAAGAAAAACGGCAGGGTTCACTGGAAGCGAGCCTATTATTTTCACGACGAGTAGCAGCGCCGATGGAAAGGACAGCGCTGGGGCTGATGTCCCGCTGCCGCATGGTGAGGCTATAGTAGACGCTGTGGTTCTGAGGCATGTTGCTGACCCTGTTTGGAGGGCTCCCACAATAAACCGTAAGGCACCAAGGCTTTGTCACATCCTGTCATCAAAGCCAACCGATGGCAGGCTTTACCAGTGTTATCCTTATGTTTCAGGGTTGTCACATCTTGGACTATGGCGCTGCCCCTTGCACTCTTCAGTCTTTCGCAGCTCACTTCGGACCGACAACCACGTTATGTACTCAAAAGCCCCACAAGTTCGCGCACAATCTGCATGGCTGTCGTTAACCAAACTGGAGGCCTGTGTAGCGGTACTCTGGTTGAAGTTACGGCTTCTGAAACCATCGCATGTTCAAGTGAACATACCTGCTAAGTCCACACAGCACCTTTCCCATACCATCCCAGCATTGGATTGCCACAGTAGGGGGGCAGTTTCTCTGCACGAAGAGCGGCTGACTGCTGATTCACCGCCACGATGGCATGGATGGGCACGCCCTGCAATCAGCGTCGAAAACGTTTACTGGCTGCTCCTGACTCTTCCCCTTAGATCGTGAGCAGCTATTGCAATGCCAAACACGACTGCAACCTGAAAGAGCCAAAAGACCTAAACAACCTTCAGCTTGAGTTTGTACTGGTTTCCTAGGCCTGACAGTGCGTGTTTCGGCGAAAGCGCCCGGAGGAAGAATGCACGGAGAACTTGCCGCCTGAATTCTCCTGCTTCACATACCGAGGCTTGCTTGCAACCGATCTGCTTGCATCGGATTTGTTAGGAGCATTTACTGACTGTAAGCATTTCAAGTTGCATGGAAACAAAAACTGGCGTTTGGGCGCCGCTGACTTGGTGCTTCTGTGGCTCACATTTTCCTAAGGGCTGGTGCTCCTCCACCAGGATGCCAAACATCTCACCATTGCCTTCAACGCTTGGCTCAAGAGCGCCGTTAACCGTTAAACCAAGCTCAAACCCTTGACAGTACTGGTCCCTGGTATAGCGGGACCTCGCATAGCACCGCGAATTGTGACGACAACTGACGCGTTCCAAATCCCAAAACCGCATCAAATCCTGCATACAGGTAGGTAGATGTCGAGATCAAAGCATGTTGAATGGAGCTGTCGATTGCCCCTATGCATTGGTCAAGCGGAAAGGCCGAGGAAACCCGCGGAGCCGCGTGCAACCCCAGCAAGTTTCATAGGCTGCTTTGCGTCTTGGAGTTCGTTCTGGGGCTCTAGACCAGGCAAACATTCGCAAGAACAAGCAAAAACATCCTCGAGCCCCATACAACGTTTGCAACCTGCATCCAAATCAACCATACCATAATATCAGAATCACCACCCCATTAACAGCAACATCAGCATTAGCTAGAATCAGCATCAGCAGCAGCGGCGTCATCATCACCACCACCATTATTATCCTCGTCATAGCTGCCATGACCATCGTCATCGCGATCACCATAATCATCAGCATCATCAACCGCCCTGGCCCCAGCCAATGCCACTGCTGGCCACCGCCGCGACCACCCTCCGCAGTCGCCACCAGCACAACAACCACCACGGCTCTCTGCATCGCTCGATCTGCCTTGAATACCTAGCGACAATGGGCTAGCGGTGCTAAACAGTTCAAGGCGCTGAGGCCAACCCAGATCCAATCCAAAAGCCCACCACGCGTGCCCGGCTCCATGGGGAGGGGGCACCTGGGCTCAAAGGAAGCGACTCTGCAAGCAGCGATGAAAAAAGTTTAGGGTCTCCTCGCAATTTACATGGAACTGCTGAATGAAACTGTTTCAGTAAGGAATGCAAGCACAAGACACTTTAGAGACGAGCAAAGGATTCCAGAGTGACATGTTGCGACATGCAGTCAAGGCACACTGCTGTGACAGTTGTGGCATCTGAGGCGTTGGAGTCACGATTCCTGAGGATCCAAGATGATCCAAGTCTGCCAAAGGAGTGCGGCAGCCTACAGATCTACGCGGGAGAGCGTGATCAAGTCCCTGCTTATCGACAAGACAAGGCACAGGATGTGTGACTCACAGTCGAGGGCACCCTCCAGGTCACAGAACTCAATCGTCTTGCCCACCTCCTGAGTTCATTAATGAACCTCCTCATTGTATGGTTCATGTACGCCCCAATGCTGACAGCACCCTGAAACGTTTGGGCAAGCTGCCTTTATGGAGTAGAGCTTCAGCAAGCGGTTGCCGGCCAGGACTAGGGTCCGGCCGGAATGTGCCACGCCAAAATGCCAGATGCAGGCGCCTTCCTTCCTGAGGGTGCTGTCCTCAGGTCTTGTCCAAATGGCCACATTGGCATCTGCAAGCAAATGCATGATTGCACATACGCCTCAAGTGCTCCCTGTCCTGTGCAGTGTGTGTATCTCTGACCCAGAGAAAAAAATGCACCAGGCCCACGGGGACAATCAACATGGCCGAGGCACCAGGAGGTTGAGCAGGACACGCTTGATGCTGTGGAGACGCATCCTTCCATCCCGGGACACGGAGTAGATGCTGACGGCCAACCAATGGCAATCTCGCATCCTGCCCAACCTCAGCTTGCTGAAGGCTTGAGATTTGAGCCCGGGCTAGACTTAGAAAGTCAGACTCTGTTGATAAAGCTTCACTTGCCATCTGCCGCGTTGGCATTTCAAGGCAGGCAAGCCGCACTGCCAGAACATGGTCTCCAGGCTGCCCCACATGCGGCAGGAAACACAGCTGATAGATCTGCCACTTGCGAGGCGGCACGAAGCAGACCTGGCAGGTTCTGGAGCAGACGACATTGTCCCTGCCCAGTTACTAAACTCCAGCGGCAAAGAGACGTGTCTTCAACCTGTTGACTTGCAAAAACGAAGCATAGGTCTAAGCTTGTAAGAGCAAGGTATGTATAACCCTTGACTCATGGCTCAAGATACAAGTGTGCTACCACTTTAAGGTGCTTATCCTTTGTAGAGATTTGGGCTTCCTTGGGCAGAAGAACTTACTGCATAATGCTGGCAAGCCCCTCATCCTTGCCCCCCTTTGCGCCTCTGCGCAAACAGCTGGCCGCCGAAGGTCGGAACTTGTGCCGACCCACTTCCTCATAGGAGGAAAGCACATCAGCTGGGTACGCCCGCATCATCCTCAAAAATCCTATGGAGTAATTGCAAACAGCCGGTGCTGCATGCGCATCACGACTCAGCTCAGACTGTAACGGTTCTGCCAAGCTAACCAACCAGCCAACGGACCCTAGTCAGAGCTGCTGGCTACTGTCGCCAGCCTACACCACAAATTTTCCTCTTCTAGTTCGGAAAGAAGCGATGCACCCGAAGCAGGACGTCGGATTTGTCTACAAAGAGATACAAAGAGACTACTTGCTCACGCGGCGCTCAACTCAATGCAGGGCATTTAGCTACTTCTTCCTTTAGTTCGCACGATGACCACCCGACCATAGAAAAGGCAGCAGGTTGTGAGCACTCGTCCACAACATGCGCGGTGCGTAGGTTCTTGCAAAAGTCAGCGCGGCCAATTAGAATCTACGAGTAGTCTTTCAATATTGAATAGGCCATCCGTTTGAATGCGTCTTATTTGCTCGCAACGCCCCAACCTCCCCATCCAAGTGTCCAAACCATGATGGTGTGCTCGTTGCCACTGATCTCGCAGTGTGCGAATAGCCGACTGTTCTCTGGATGCTGGCACATGCAGACGATTCCTGAGCTGCCGAACTCTGAAGGCCAGCCTAGCCTCAAGCTTCGCGCTACAAGCTCAGGGCTTCATGACATCACATACGCTTTGATGCATGCATCATTATGCATGCTGAATCGCGTAACGCGAGCCTATGCTGCCCAGGTGGCGCTTGAATTCGGGGCTGCGAGAGACAGGAACTGCCGAGCCCTCGTCGCAGCCTTTGCCCAGGAGGCTTTGCGTTGGTTTTCAGGTGACAGAGCGAGAGACCTGAATGAAAAAAGTGTAGAGGATGTCGGGACTAAAGTTTAAAGAGTGGAAGGCTTCATGCAGTCTGCTCTCGTAACACTTGAAAGGCAAAGTGCATGCTGTAATGCACCGAGCGAAGTAAAGACGGTCAAGAAACATACCGCTACCGCGACCTACAAGCGAAGCTGTCTCTAAACTCTAAGCATGGAGCCAGACCGCCTCTTGGAGCCAACAATACACGTGGGACAAAGGGTGGTGGAGGTATTGGTGGAGGAGCCTTGCCTATATGGTGGCTCCTTGTAAATCCCTTGGTGCACAACGAACAGCAGACTCGCCTGTGCTCAATTAAACTACGTTTGTAGCAGAGCCTTGCGCTCGCCCCTGAGCCCTCAGTTCTGACCCTGTGAAAGTCAAAATATAAACTTATCCAACATGTGCCCGAGTCTCCATGTTCTTGAAGAGACAAGCTTTGCCAGCCCAAAAACTAGAAGCTGACATTGGCGGCCGGGCAACAGTCCACTCTGCGCACGTCGAACAGCGCCTGCTCTGAAGAGTTGCCAAGGAAGGCTCCGCCAGAGAGCTTGGCAGACTTCCTGAGTTTGGGATGATCCTACTCACCTGGGCTACGCGCCGAAGCCGCAGGAAGAATTGCCTAATTTTTTCGTGTTGCCCTCAGCTTCAGTTTCCTCTACAATTCTTTTTCACCTACACACAAAAAAGGGGCAGTGCAGGCGCATCTACTTTTTACGGCTTTGGGACACAGTGCCATAGTCTCTGGCCTTTCAGGCACATAGGGAACAGCAGTCAAGCAACTCACACCAAGAGACAGGATGCCGTTGCTAAAGAATAGAAAAGGGGCTTGTCGCGTTGGTCAACGCACAACAACAGCACTGAGTTCTTGGTTTAATCGCTCTTGAAGTGCCTCAACAAGCTGCTGCAAGGCATGCCCCTTACTACATTACTACATGCCAGAACACTGACAAACACTTCCGTAGACTTTGGATCTTTTGATGCAGGCAGGCCGCAGCACACCATCATGGAAGTAGAGAAGGCTTTCCTGGCCCCAGCTGGTGAAAGGTAAGCCATCAAGAGCTTGAAATGAGGGCTCGTCCAGTCCCCCGCCCCAGTGGTGACATCCCAGTTCTCGGGCCTTCGCCTCAGCCTGCCAAAGGCGCTCGTACTCCTGCCAAGCTTGCGAGGGCTCTGGGTAAGCGTGGAGGAAAAAGTTGCTTAGTGAGACATGTGACCGTCTGCCAGAACTTGATGGCTGGGTAGTGGTTGTTGCGCAAATGGGGCGTGCGTCATTTTTTGTGAGGTTTGGCTGGGGGCGGTCCGCCTCTTTACAACATGACGAGCACATCATGAGCTGGTTGGTGGGTGTTGCTTTTCAGGGTGTCCAGTCGCTTCACAGGGTATTGAGCCTGCATGACCCGTCCTATGTTTAGGTTTTGACCCTCACCAATGTGGGAAAAGGTATTATTGGGTGAGGTGCCGCTGGAGATTGGCAGCCTCGACTCTCCATGAGGCTGAAAGTGCAGGGCTGACCAGTGCTCTGAACTATGTTCCTTCAAAGGGTCCAGGTCTATTGTCAGGCCACGGCGCGCGCCATGCTGAAAAATGTCGTGTTGGTCTTACTGGGATTCCTTGGATCTCAACCTCCACATGTCGCCTGGGCCGCAGCACAGCAAGACTCAGTGGCACTCGTGTCTCCTCATTGGAAGCTCCGCCTAGCTTTTCGGCAATGCCTCAGAGAAATCCCGAGACAGGTGGTGACAGCGTTGCAAGTCCACACTTTGCTCTTCAATGTGGTTCATGTTAGTGACTGATCATTTAGCATTGTGTCATTGTGTGCCTGAACGTGGGATGTAAAGTTCAGAGTTCGGCACAGCTGAAAACCTGCCCCGGCGTGTCGCTGGCGGAGACCAGTCTGCGAGGTAGCTGTTGTCGTAGCATGTTGGGCTTTTGGTGCCAATGTTACAATGAAATAACTACGAGTACTGTAGTGCTCCCCTGCCGTGGAAGAACGAACTAACTGCTTCACAGCGCAGTAACCTCACAGTCCGAATGCCGAAGGCTTGCACTGCAATGGACTCTGAGTTGAAAACTACTCCGCATCGGAGGTTGACTGGGAAACTCTCTGCACCAACGAGTTCCAGGCTGCGTCTGGGCATGTCCAAGGCTGCCATAGTCAGGAAGAGTTGGGGCACGCGCCTGTCTGCGCAAATTCTAACACGCAGAGGGTCTGGCGCAAGCGGCCCCGAATGGCACCATCTCAGGCCGAAGGTTGAAATCAGGAAGAGGTTTGTGAAAGGCACAAATAGCACAGCCCTATCCAACACATGTGCAGGATGGACTATCTTGCATGGCCCGGCCTGTTGCTGACTTCCAAGGCCATGGTCCTTAGACTTGGTCGCTCTGCCCAACACAGTAGCTCACAGGTGTCTTCTTGAGGGAAATGCTTTGTGGAGCTTCAGGAATGATATTCGTGGTCATGACGGCTCGGCTTTGATCAGCTCAAGACCCTCCAGGCAACTGTCGAGGCACTCGAAGGGAATGCCCAAAGGACGGCTGAAAAGGGACTCAGTCTCCTCATCCATGGCCTTGCAATACTAGTCTTGTGGTCCATTCCAAAGCACCAGCACAGTGCACGACTTGCAGGAAAAGGTGCGTAGTTAGGAAAGCTTGGTGGGTTTGAACTTAAGGGAAGTTTGCGCGATCTTACCCTGACACCCAGCACCCATAAGCTCAACAGCCGAAACTCAAAATCCTTCCACACTCCTCTGTTTGCCCAGCTGCTGGTCGAAGCGCTCTGTTCTTCCAACGGTTGAGCTGCACCATAATTCGAATGGCCTTGCCAGGTACCGAAGTACCGAAAACAGGTCTCCCTATGCCAATGACCACAGGCATGGACACGTCAAGCTACGGCGCCACATCATAACATGCAGCAAACCCATGCTCTTCTGGAATGCACGCCTCAAACCCATTCTGACAAATCCTCACAAACGGCATGGAAAAGGGGCCGAACATGTCAGTGCCGCGGGCCTTGAACAAGTTTGCCAGGTTCCGCTCACGCTTACCCGCCTTCATGACCTGAGGGCATGAAACTTTGTGGCTTATATGCTTCTGTTTGCGGACAGGTCCTTGCCTTTACCACTGCTCAATTCCACTTCAGTCTTTTTCTGAACTGAGAACCTCATGCCTACCCAGCCCCTTCCGGACTCTTGATTGAAAATCAAATTTTAGCTGTAAATTTGGTCATGCCGCACCGCCACTGCAAGTGTAGAACATCTTTGCATGCTGTGTCACCCAGCCTTGTAAAGGTACGTGCTGAACTCCACTGCATGGGCGTAAGCGCGGGCCTTCTTCAGCGAGAATTGCCTGGGCAATCTGCGGCTAGCTTAAGCCCAATGACTTTGAGCTACTTACTATGTAGCTGCTCAAAACATACAGCCTTTCAACCAAAAACACAGCACAAGACTGGCCCCCTGTAATGCTGCAGGAGCACTTGCGGATACGTCGGATGACCGCTTGCGAGGCTTGGCCTGGATGTCCGTTTTCAGTGGAGTTGCTTCGAGGCTTGCTTGTTTAGGATCGTTGTTCCTGGATGCAACGGGCATTTTCAGCGAGTGGCCGCCCGTGTCGCGCAAGTCCTCAAGGGCCCGAAGCTGACCGGCCTCCAAAGATGCATAGCAAATGCGCTTCATCCCTGAACCTTCTAGAAAGCAGAACTGTGTGACAGGATGCACGCATTGTACCAAGATGAGATCCTTCACGGACGAAAAGTGACCTGGCACATCTGACTTCCGTGCCGGCCTTCAGGAAAAGCCGCGTGGTCCCCAATGTCCACCTTGCTGCCGCAAGCTGTCACCACAACTGATCATTCATGTCCGCATGGAGCGCAGGCAGATGACTCAAAAGCCCATGTACCATCTGCGAATAGCAGGTTAGCTTTTGCAAAGGCAAGCTGCTGGCTTTCGTCGATGTCCCAAGCCAACATCACTGCGTGCATAAAGTTGCGGTCCTCTCAGACAATTGGTATCTCTGTTCGTTTGATATGTTACGCGTCTTCCAGGCAAGTCTGACGAGGTCTATCGAGGTCTTGAAGTTGGAGACGCTTTGCTAGAGTGGTGCAAAAACCCAAGCCATGGGTCCGAATAGTGCGCAAACTCCGGCGGCAAAAGCTTCTCAAAGCGGGCCCGCAGGTCCTCGGCAGCTTGATGTATGTCGGCAGGCTAGCCCCAAAATCATTTGGGGCGTCTCAGGATAGCAGCACATGGGATCCATTACTGAGGTTCAAAAAAAAGTGCCCCACACTTGAGACGCAGCGACTGCCGTTCCGGTCGACCTTAACCTTTCTGTTGCATCTTGAAGGCATGTCAAGGGGCCTTGAGAATGCAGCGATGGGGATAGCCGTAGTGCATGATCCGGACAAGCTCCACTGTGCCGCACTGGATGACCTCATCTGCACGGTGTGGACCTACTTCAAGCTGGCAGGCCGCTGTGCAGGAATATCATGAGCACATGTAATGGCCGACGTGCTCTTTGCTTGCTTGTCAACTCACAGGGAAAGTGACAGAAGCTGATTATCGACAGCACGTAGCCTGATCGAGGACGTACTTCCGGTTGAAAAGCCCAGGTTTCCGCTCCTCGAGACACGATTTGCTTCACGGCATTTTGAAAGGGTCTGCTCCGACGCTGGTCCTACATGCTTATCTTCTACATTGCGCAAGGAAATGTTAGGCTACGTCTGGCATTTGCTCTTAAAATTTCGGTGAGACACTTGCTCAAGATGCAGGCCTGGTTGGGGTTGAAGCAGCGGATGTAATGCACAGAGCAGAGCTTCAAGGTGGCAAGCAAGTCCTTAGTCTTCGAAAAGCTGCAGGGCCATGGGAGAGGCGTCCAACTCAAAACGTTATTGATCGCTACCAGTGGAGGCGACCAACTGCAGATGCTCCGGACCCTACAGCTCTTCCTAGAACCCTGTTGTTTATTGTGCGAGATCCTCAAAACAGAATAAACTCACAGCCGAAGAGTCGTTGAGGTTGTTGAGGTATGTGCTGCTCACAGAGCAGAGCCGCTCGCCGGAGAAACCGGGCATGCGGCTCGTGTCAGCCATCTCCACAACAAACTGTTTGGAGCCGACAGTCAATAGCGATTCGATCTCCGGAACTAGCGAGTCATTGTTCTTGTCAATCCAGCCCCTGGTGGAATAGGCCACCTGGGTTGCAGTGCCTACCAGCACCACTGCGCACGTGGAAAAGCAGCGAAACCGTTTGCCAGCCCTACGAGCCCGCTAAAAAATCTTCCATGCTACAACGACCTCTCACCCAAGCTGGCGTCTACAAGAAATGCTGTACCTGTGATGACCAAAGCACAGGCCCTGCATAGTGGCAGATCTGGAAGCCTTGGAGGAGCACAGCCATTGCTCAATTAAAGCTGGATTGGGCAGACCAGTGGGAAATGCCGAGAAACAAAACAAGTAGAGAGACCGAAGCAGCCACGCTTCTGCTGCAAACAAACCATCTTTGCGTGAGCACTGCGCTGGTAACAGCTTCTTTGGGGTGGGTGGGCAGTGGGGCATCCATGCTTCAACTTGGGGACAGTTTCTTGATAAGCCCATCCTTACGCTTCTGCGTCGTAAGATATGTCAGAACGCTTTATTGCGGCAATCCATCGTGGCAAGGAGGGGTGACATTCAGGTTGCAACAGTGGCGCAGCTCGGGAATTCAGGAATCACATTCCGGCGCAGCACCGCGACAATTCTGGAATAAAGCTACACTGAAGGAGCGTGAAAGGTTATATCGAGACACGCTAGCTGTTTTTCAAGGAGCCACATTGTTGGCCGCAATATGTCGTGGATGCTAAAGCTTCCTGCGTGAAGGCGAGTCTTGTTGAATTGCCATCGGTACCTTTACTTCAAAGCCCTGAACATCCCTAAGCTCTCTCAAGCCTGTTACCTAGACACTATAGGAAATGTAGAAAGCCCCTTGACTACCCTAGACCCACTGGCTTAAACCTAATCCGGCGAAGGCCATCCCAAACCTGTAGAAAGCCTAGAAGGCACCTCAACCCTGAGACTTAAACCCTACCATGAGAAACTCTGGTTTTGGGACCGTCTACACCACAACCCGCAACCAAAAACCCTTGCATCTTGCAATTGACTCTATATCAACAACTCGTTTTGCCCCCCCCCCCCCACTCCCTGTTGTATACCCCTTCGTCGCGGCCTGTTGCTGTATACCTTTGTCGCCTATGCCCCACAAAAGATCCTTGTTGCCAAGGTGCTTCTTGCAAGCCAGGAGATTCTGCTTTTCAATTCACAGCCATTTGCCGCGATTGTGCGGGGCTGGTCCCGGACCGGAATTCACGCAACTGTTTCCGGAATGTTGCGCGGCGCTTCGAAAATTTCGGCGTCAGAATGACCCTTGCTGTTTCCTGAATCTTCCCGGCTCGTTCCTGAAGTTGGTGTCTGAGCTTCACACTTGTTTTGCCGGAATTCGTCTTCGTTCTGTGATGAGGTCTCTCGCTGTCCATCAACGAGATGCCTGGAAGATCAACAAGTAGATGCTCGGTCATTCAGCAGGAAGCTTATCATTCTTGGCTCGTTGATTGGGCCCGGCGCGTCCAGAAAGGCTTGGCATAGGCCGCATCAGATGGTTTGCAAACATTATGTGCGGTCAAACAGGCCTTGCCCCGGAAGAAACCCCACGGCTGCTAGATGTTTCTAACCGATGGCATACTGCAATGACTTTTAGGGAGCTAAGAACGATATGCAGGAGCACCTGCAAACATTCTCAATGCTGCGAGGCACCATCGTGCAGGCCAGGCCCGTTGCCGGTGCGGCTGGCCTCGGGGAGAGGCTCGCTTTGAACAGGGATTCCAAGGGCTCTCAGCAACTTGCGGGGCCTTGAAGGAAGCTGTCAGCAAGAGGTGGGGGGCCGGAGCTCAAACAAGTACACGATAATATCCTGCTGTTGAATGCCGGGTGCCTCAAAAGATCCATTTGCACCGCCCGTTGATATTCTCTCGGCATGTTGGAAGCTTCGACTCTTCGAGCGGCTTGGTTTCTGTTTAATTGGGCTTCAAGGACAGGACATGGCAGGGCTTCGTAGTCTTTAACAAGAACTGAGCATTTTTGAGCCAGTGAGTCAGGCCAATCAGCCCGAACCCACTGTGTTTAAGCCCGCACCTTCAGCTTCAGTGGCACCACCGGCCCACCCTGGCGATCGCGAATCAGCTCACGGTGCACCTTTTCAGGTTCAGCATGTTCTCTCAATGCTTTGGCATCTTTGTGTGGCAGTCGCGCACAGCATCTCCATTAGTTGATGTGCCATTGTGTTGAAGCGCAACCGAATGAAAAGGGAACTTCAGAAGCAAGCACCGCCCACCCCAGAAATATGGAGCCTGTTCGCAGTACTTGGCATCCTTGTCGTCCTTGGGGCCTGTGCGCACAAGGTTCTTGATGGCACGCAGGCTGTGCTCGTCCAACAGCTTCATGACGTTCCTGATTCACCAAAAGCGACACTTTGCAACTGCACGCTGCCACTTCTACAGCGGATTCTCCACCTTGCGCAAGGGTGCTTCTGCTGCTGCTGCTCGAAGAAATCAGCTGCAAGAGGTAACAAGTTCATGACTTCCCCTGAGAGCTCTGTCCAACAGCCGGGGTTCTGGATGCCAAGAACCACAGGGGTTGAGTCTGGTAGGTCCATCTCCAAAACTGTGAGCCTTTCCTCCTCGTACATGCGCTGCTCCGCCTGCAAGACCTCTGCAGCATACATTGCAGATGCAGCGAGCAGTCAACCCAAGCTCAAGAGCTATTGCATGCAAACTCGTTAAGCTTGCCTGGGTGGAGCAGACAGGACACATGTTGGTGAAACAGCATGGATCCCCTCCAAGGCCTCCTCCACGAAGAACTGCTGCAGGCGTTCATTTGCCAGGTTGATGCACAACTGCTCGAAGCTGTTGTGCTCCAGGCGCTCAAAACCGTAGATGTCCAATGTCCCGATGCCTGCGCATTTCTTGGCAGGCCATGGCACAAGGAGCCAGCCTGCTAGCCTCCTGGTCCCACTAGTCTCACGTGCAACAACGCATGGTGCAAGCCAAGGGGCTGGTGTATGAAGCTTCGGGACGCACCTTGGGGTTTGAGACCTCGTTGATCTTGGTGACAATCTTGTCAAACATCCGCTTGTACAGCACCTTGGGGGCACCGTGTATAGTCAGCTAAGGAAAGGCCTGCAGGAGCCGCTACTTTCAACCGTCTCGTACCGCACGAGATCGTTTGAAGCCTTAAATCAAAGTTTTCAGGATTGAGCATGATGAATGGAACAAAGTGGACAGTGAAGGAACAGCCTTGGCCGGCCTGACTCCACGGCAAACCAACTTTGGAAGTTGAACCCCATCCAAAGAACATTGAAGCCCAGGGACCTTGATGATGCATTGGAGAGTCTGCCGTGCCTGCGCCAGGCTCCGCGGGCACTTGATGTGCGAGGTGCGCCCTGCAAGCTGCAGGAAGTCTTAGGGCAAGTGATCCTGCGGCGTACCTTTACTGGCAGCCGGACTTTCGCTGCTCTGGATGTATGCAGATTCCCAACGAACTTTGCCAGGGTTGCATTGGTGACGAGCTCAGACATGCAATTCTGCCGCAGGCGGACGCAGGACTAACCAGAGACCTGAACCCTCCGCAGTCCTTGCCGGTTGACCCTCATCTCGCGGAACCTGGGCCAGATTTCTCATGGTGCAAAAGCAAAAGATTCAGCGTCTTGTGCTCCTAACTGGGCTTTGCATCCACTCAGTTCGAGGAATTCTTGCAAGATGCAGGCCCATCAACTATTTGCAAGAGAGCGTGCACATTTGTCGGCCGGAGGGAGATTTCAGGCGGCCATAACATCAAGTTGCTGGTGCGGCTGGAGCCCTGAAGTGGTATGCAGTTCGACACCTTCAAAGCCTGGCCACAGGCCATAACGGTAGTTGCATGAGGCCCCCTGTCTATTCCTGTTGTGCCCCTATCGCTGGGTGGGGGATAACCAAATTCATCCGCATGACAATCCCTACCTCGTAGCCCTTAAAAGCACCCCCGCAATGCTCCTCTCTATAAGAACACCAAACAAAGGACAGAGAGGTTGCAGAGGCCTAGATCTACAACCCTCTCTCATTCTCTATATAGAAGCCACGCAGCCCATACTTCCCACACCAACGCCAAGAAAGGACCCAAGAAAAAGCACCAAGCCCAAGCACTGCAGAATCTTGGAGATGCCCCTGTCGTCTAGGCCCAGTAGATCTGCTGCGGTCTCCAGGGCCTGGTGCAAAGAAAACTCAGTTGGAGTAGGGCTCACGGTTAGCGGGTTTGGGAACCTGGAGACTCAAATCCTTCTATGTTTCTCTCGAAGTGCGTGGAGTTACATAGGGTAGAGGGGTAGGCTATATTAATGAAGTGCAGCAGCCAGCCTCTTGCGTGTCTGGGTTGACCTCCACTCTGGCAGTCTGGCTGCCTGATTGAGGGCACCCATTTCAGCAATGGGTCCACCAACCGACCCTTGTGGGCATCTATCAACTCCATGTCTAAGGCAATTGCTGTAGGGGGTTTTTGTATCCACCCATCATCATGTCCGATACTTCATTGTCAAGCAACTGTCTGGAGGAGCCGGATCGGAAACTGCAGTGGAAGCCGCGTGAGAGCCTGGGAAGCTCAGGAGGAGACTTGGAACTTGGACATGATCAGACTTCTTGGTTAGCTAGGAATTAAGGAATGGATCCTTACAAGAGTCCCTATAAAACCCATGATGTTTGTTTCCATTTTCCTTTCCGTTCCCTCGTTCCCAGCTGACCAAAGGCCAGTAATTGCTGCATGCTTTCCTACCCGTCTAGGCTCTTTTCTTGCAACAGCCAGACTGACAACGAACATCTTGGCCAGTCTGTTGCCGAAAAAGCCCATCCAACATGTTAGCTTACTAACGTCTGTACAGCCCTATCCAATTTGCGGCCCAGATGCTGGGTGACAGGCAGGGGGAGGAATCAGGAGCAGTGCTCTCCTCAGCACAGCTTGGGCGTAAGGCTAAGGATTGAAGGGGCTAAGGCCTACCGCCTGGCTTCCTCAAGGGCCAAGGCACAGGATAAATTGGACTGGCTTTCACATCCGGGACTTCATCATGCACGTTGCTTGAAGCCCCCCTTAGGCCTGCACGACGTCCTCTGGAGGACCGGTTTCCACAAAGTCCACCTTGCATACTGTCGTTTAAGCTCACCACGTTTACGCAGCTGGACTTGGAACTCTGCTTTTGCTTGATCTGTAGTCGGAACAAGGTTTAGTACAGGTTCATGATGCAAGTTCCCCTAGCTTGCGAGTGATTGCAGTGCCCGGGATTATTTCTGCAAGCACCGTCGCCTGTCCGAGATGGATCAGGGCAGCCAAAATGTCCCAGATGTGGTCCTTCGCACGCTTCCGAATCTTGTGTCATCATGCTTGCCTTTGAAAAGATGATGTGTTGTCGAAGCAGGCCAGCAACAGTTTAATTGTATTAGCTGCGCAGCCTGCGCTAAGTGCACCTGGTTATGCCAAGTATAAACGCTCAGGCTTGCTTGCGGGTCAGTCCTGCCCCTCCTCGCTCACAAACAGTGAGAGAGCGCTCTTCAGCTCCTCAAATTGCCGTGCTAGCCTTTGTGACTCAGGTGAGCCTTCTTGCAGAGGCGGCGTTCCGCTGGAGTGCAGCAGCTTGTAGCTTTCCTCCCTGTCAAGGTATAGTTTGTCCAACTGATCATCGTCCATGCCAGCCAGAAGCTCGTAGAAGACATGGTAGTTTTTCTCTCCCCGCTGTTGGAAAACAACCCGGGAGCTTTCCAGCAGGAAGGTCTTCATCCCAGCACCCACCAGAGAACCAACCCGGTCGAACATCATCTCGTTGTACCTCAGGTGCGTTTGCATTCTTTTGTTGCGGTTGCTCTATAGCTGAAGGCTTCTCACCACACTATTACTCTGGTGCCAGGTACTTCCCAAAGCGGGAGGAGTTCATGTTCATCACGGTGGAGGCATTCCCGAAGGATTCCAAAATTGGATTTGCGCTGATGATCTTTTCCTGGATCTTGTTGCCGTGCTCTGCGTCAGTCCTGCCACCAGGTGCAGGTTTAATTTCCTGCCATCATTGCAGAGGCCTGCCAAACCCGCATCCAAGCGCCTGGACATGGAGGTGAGGTAGTGCATCGTGATCTTAGCAGTCTCCGTCTTCCCTGCTCCGCTCTCGCCACTGATCACTAGAGCCTGTACGCAGCATTTTTGCAAGTTTTTGATCGTACATATTTGGACCGTTTTGAAGAACTGCAATCCGGAAAGGCTAGCTTGTCCACTTTGTGGTCTTTCCTGTCTTAATTGCCCTTGATTACGTTGCTCCGGGTTGCTGCAGCAGTCTTGTTGGGGGTCATCGTGCCAACTGTCTGGACTTAAAGGCTTGAAGCTTCGAATCGATTTCGCGGGCTGGATTCTACCAAGAGCTCTTACAATCCCGCTTACAATCCATATAACCCTTATAGTCCCTGTAGTTTCCATTTTCTTTTACATTTTCCCTATAATATCACCCCAAATATCCCCTATAATCCCTATATAACCCATGTTAACTATAATATACTATAATCTACTAGAATCTACTATAATCTACCATGATAATTGTACTATAATGCCCTCCCAGTGCCATCCCAGAGCCTGGCCTGGTTCTTGCGATCCCGCTGCATTCGTCGGTATGCCACATCCGCAATGGCCTCAAAGTGCTGTGACTACTATTACTATTCTTATTTTCATTCTTATTATCATTTTAAGTATCACTATATACTATTGTATTCAATGCAACGTGCGATTTTTGCGCAGCTGTCATGGATCTCTGTTTGCAGCCCATGTTGATCGCAAGCTGTGGATAAATGCAAGGCTCTGCAAGTGCGCGTAAGGGCGGCCACGGCGCATAGGGATGGGGAGGCACAGTGCCTGGGTTCTTGCCCCAGTACTTCTCCATCTCCTCCAGACCGCAGAAATGCGCATTCAAAAAGGGGCTTATAAATCATGTGCATGCCCACTGAGTGATACTTTCCAGCACTTGAAATGAGCAAGAAGAGGGGAGATTTTTTGCGAAACCTTGTGCCACGAACTGCACCCAACATTTTTTTTACGAGCTTCTAGGTTTTAAGACCACGGCTTCCACGAGCGCGGCATTGCCATACACTGAGATCTTGGCATGCGCAAAGCTACAAGCATGTGACATGTGTTCAATGACTTCCATCCTCGCGGGTGTACAGGTGGCGCATGCTTTTGTACGGGTTGACAGCGAGCATGACATTGGCAGTGTAGGTGTAGATCTTGTCTTTGCAGTACCGCTTGCCTGAGGAGCCAACTCGAAACAAGGACGTGGATAGTCCAGAAGACACGAAAAGCAATCCCCAAAATGAGGGTTCGCTTTTGTGAGGCAGCATCCGGAACAGTTAGGTGGTGCAACGCTTCAGTGTGAGCGTCCCTGGGGCTCTAAATCGCTGCCGGGCGAGAAGGGCCTTCTAGCACCTTCCTCTCAGCTCCCTGTGGTATAGTGCGCATGACGTCCAGCTGCGCAAGTTGTCCAGAATGTTCGCATCATCCAAATGCACCATCTCCGTGTTATCCTGGAACGTGCGCTCCTGCCCAGTTGCTTCACGGCTGCAAAGGACCCGAATTCATCCTCTCCCCCTCATATTTAAGAAGGTTATATTGGGGTGTATATATAGATATGTTCGTATGTATGTATATAAAGGCTGAATAGTGTGGTCATATTGAATTAATGAAAAAATGGTACTGTACCCCCCACCACCCTAATATTATCAACATGCCACAGTGCATACGGGCGTTAACCCTTGATGCTGCTTGGCCTGAGCCCGGCAAGCATCACAGGCTTCCGTCAAGTCGCTGCCATGGAAAGTACAGCTTGTCAGCATGGGCGGCCCAACCCAAAACCCCAAACCCGGCCTCTCCCACATCATAGAATGGGCGAACATCGCTCTTGCGGACCTAAGGCCAGGAAGCACGAAAGCGAACAGTAGTTTCCATTTTATTTTCCATTATCCCGACATAACCCATATATAACCCAGTATTAAGCCTATTTATACCCCAATAATTATAACCTTTAGTATTAGGGGGTGGGGCATTCGCTTTACAAAGTCATAGTGGGTCATACTTGTACAAGCTACAAGCTATTCGGGGCAAGAGAACAATTCGGCACTAGGAGGCCGCTCCACATTCCGCGGCCTCGCAACAGCAGAAAGACCATCTGCATGATGTTCTTCATTGATTCATAACCCTAAACCCCTAAACCCTAAAACCCTACACCCCTAAACCCCCTAATGTTTGCAACCCCAGAAATGGCCCGAGTGGCAGCCTGGGAGCCACCTGCTTGGCCTTCGGCCGCTACGATGATGGAGTCCTCAAGGTGGAGAGGACAGGATAAGCATGATCTCACTTCATATGACTTGCAGAGGTCATTTAGCAACCCAGACCAGTACGCGGCAAGGGCCCTTTCCAAGGGCATAGAGGCATCGCTTTGCCGCTGTTGCCCTGATTGAGCCACTTCCCACACCCGCATTAAAAGGCCACATGCCAAAATAAGTCAAGCACTGAGAGGGGCATTGGAAACGATCAGTGGGTCGCTACACCGTGACTTCACTTCGCGGGGAGCGTAGACTCATCTTTGACAAAGCGTCTCTGGAGTTGTCGACGCTCAGAACGCGAGAGCGGCGGTACCCTGCAGGGGTTACCATGATTATACCCATATCGTTGACGGTGCAGATGTCGGTAACGCGGCTTCATCACGAGTTCACTGACTAAGCCTACGCATGCCATGCATGCCACTGCCTTCACTTGCATCAGGGTGCCACACCCAATCCTTGGATTGCACATGATCCAGAATCACTGCCATTGGCCTTGTCCTAGGCATTCCCTTCCATGCGTCTGGTCAGCCCTTCGTCTTATACAAGACTGAACTGCACTGTGCACATGCCACGCGTGCCTACGTGAATCCTCATCTACCAATGGAAGGTGCGAAATTCTACTCTTCACATCCTTTGTTGGTCACTTCATGCTGCGAGACGCATCCTTCTCGTAGTGCGAGGCCAAAGGTGAGAGCGGGCTTCCTGCAACGTAGCGGGTCACTCTGCACGAACCTTGCTTGCCTCCTGCCTCTAAGGCTCTACAACTACATTCAGAACTCTGCGGAGATCAGTCTCCCATGGTCGCCTTCCAGCTTGAGACAGAGGGAGTCTCTGACCCCAGGCGGAAAGCTGCTTGCAAGCTTGTAATTCACTTCATTTGTTCAGCGTAATATGCATGGCCCCATTGTACAAGTCATGCTAGGTGAAGCTACAGAATTGAGAGGCCATGGGGACATTTCTTCGAGGCAGGGATCTGTGATTTCCGTTATCTGGGCCTGAAAACTGCAAAAAAGAAGGAAAAAAAAAAGCTGCCGCAGGCCACCCGGCCTGGGACACACGGGAGTCGTGATTTCAAGGTTTCCGGGCCGGAAACATATATTAAAAAAACAAAAAAACTCCCCCACAAGCCATCGCGCAAACGTCCCAAGTCCACCTGACACAATTGGAGCATCCACCTTTCACCAATGGAGAACTGCGGCTCGAGCATGTCAAGCTGCCACTAAAGCTTCTGACCACAAGAGGCTGATTACAATATGGACATTTCTTTGGTCCATACTGGAAAGGTTATCGTACTTCTGAGATCATTATGGCAGTGCTTCACATCTTGAAGTCGTTCGCAACCAACCTCCCATCTATATCTCTAGCAGAGATCCGAGTGCGTCCCCCACTTCAACTTGGCGTTGTCGCAAACCATCTTGTAAATCGCAGGGGCCCTCCAGTGCAAGGCCGTAAGCTTGGGTCACATTTAAATTTGGCTATCACTGCTTTCCTTTCGCGGTGCCAAAACGGCAGCTGTCAGTGAAGTGGGATGTCTGCTTCTAGGGGCGGTTGACCGAGCTGCAGGCTCTTAAAATCCAGCTTGGCCGTCGGGCCCAGTGCGGATGAGCTCATGGGGGTGACGCCCGCACTGCCGACCTGCCCCTGCAACGCCCTGGATCTGCGTTTTTGGCGTCATTTGGACGCGCGATTTTGAAGGCTTCCCCACGGGAATCGAAGGTGTGGGGCAATTCTTCAGCGCAGCATCATCAACACTGTTGGGCCTTCGTTTCTCACTTTTGGGCTCCTCAACATACCTAGAGTGTTGGTGGATGTTTGAGGGTTGTTGGAACCTCATATGTGTGGTGTCAAAAAGGACATGGGGCCCAAACAGGCCCCATGATGCTCATAATGCTGGCTCTTGGGGGGCTGCCGGGACCTTAAAATGCATCATAAACCCCAATAAAACGCTATGAATGATTTGAGGCTGTAAATACCAGCATTAACAGCACCCGCACTGCATGACGAGCGTGCGAAAGGCTCTACACGCGTTACTCAGGCCAAACTCTCAAACGGTGCATGTTGCACGTTTGTTGCGGTGACTGTACGGGGCGCGCACGCGCCCCCATACTGGAGCTCCGTCTGCATAGTTGGGACCCCGTATTGAATCATTTTGAGCTCATAAACCTAAACAACTAGCCCAGGCAGCAAGAACATCATTCTTGCATACACTTCTCCCGATCAAGAGCATCAGCAGGGCTGGGGCGGGCTGGGTGGGCGGGGTAGGGGTGGCTATAGGCAGGCACTTACCGCAGTTCCCGAGACTCAGGCAATTTGTCACGAAATAGGCGGGTTTGTCATACGGGCACGTCATGGAGAGGCTGCCCGCACCTTGCTACCAGCCAGATGTTTCATGGTCAAAGAGCAGTATCACTTTCACTCCAGCACGTCCTGCGCTCTGGCGGCCCTCCATGGTGGGCCGGTCGCTGAAGACAGGCACTCGGGACTTGAACCAACACGGCTCAGGAGATTCCGTGCATGGACAAGACCAGCACATGGCATCATGCCAACAGATTGTGATAAGTCGTACGGGCCAATGTGAGACATACTGTCATCCAAGCTCCAACAATGCTCCTCAAGTGGACATTCAATGACTTCCGAAGTGTGGCTAAGAGCCAGTTTAGTTTCAGCTGCATCAAAGCTCCATATTCAAAGGCCCAGGTAAACGTCGCCTGCAAAACAATAACCAGTCTCCAAACTGGCAGTGTCAGCTCTGGGCTTGCAAAGCGTACAAGCTTTGTCTTGCTCCATTTTGCTGACTGCTTCGGGCTTGTGCAGTAGGGCTGCTAGCTCATGGTCAACGCGGCAGCTTGCTGAAGTTTCCAGACATCGGGCCAAGGCCTCCATCTTCTGCCTCCACCGCTTCACCACATATCTGCCAACCAGGCCAGCGCCGCCCACCTGGCGGTTTGCTCGTCGTGTGTTCGAGATTCGGAAAACTCTTAAATGTTCTGCTGAAAAATCTTAAAGAAGGCTTGTGCCTCAGGAGGCTAGGCAACTTACTCTTCGATATCGTCTTCATATCTGCAAAAGATGCAACTACACACCACTTGAAGCATGCACAGGCTCGTACACATGCATCAAATTGAGCGAGCCCTTGCGCCAAGCGATTTAGTTTCATACATAGCCGTCCAAATGCTGTAGCCGCAGCTGTCGTAGCTAGCACCGCCGTTTCGAGTGTACTTATACAGGCTTCCGCTCCAAAACATGTACAGTAGTCTCAAGAACCCCGTGGTTTAGGCCGGCGCTGAAGGCGCTCCTAGCGTCGCACATCTGGAACCCAAACTCTAAACTCGCGGACCAAGGCCGTCTCCGTACTGCCCGAAACCCTTTTTGGGAACTCGTGGCTAGGTACGATAGCTATATAATACTGACACTGGCACTGACATATATAATCATATATAGACCGGTTGGCTCAGGGCTCGAGCAATGAAGGCTCTGGGAACCCTGCCATCGCTAAAGGATTTGGGTCTGAATTGTAGACTTTGCAAGTTGAGCCAGGAAGGATTTGGCTTCTGCATACGACTTCCCAGTATACAGTAAACATTGCCCACATTCCCTCAGGCGCAGCAGGATTGCAACCTGCGGGGTCAGACAAGGTGCGCCTTGCTCGAGGGCGGGTGCTTGGGGGATGGCGGACAATGTGTAAACTGTACGGACAACCAGGTTGTTGCATCTAGGGGTATGGGAAGGGGTGTGCTATTGAGGCGCTGGGGTGGCGCTGGCAGATTCGGTGCGCAAAGCAAGTGAATGGGGTCCTGAAATTGCCCGAGTAATTGCAAGCCCTGTCTGTGACGACCACAACCGCGACTGGCGTAGTCTGCTGCTTTCCGTATCCGGTACTCCATGACCTCTGCATGCACCCCTTACGGGCAAACAAACTTCAGATTCTACACAAAAGCCGCCGGGCCCACGACGACGACTGCAGGCACTTTTTCCGCCATGGATAGTGCGCCTTACCCAAGTGGTGATTGGCAGCCAGGGGATGCCTGGGATTGCTGGAGGTTTGCGTTGTAATGCTAGTGATGGCAGTGGCAGTGGCAGCTCAAACAAGTATCATCCCATCATCCATAAACCATGGCAACCTTATGCATGTTGCTGTCATAAGGTCCAGGCCGCTCCGAGGCTCGCTAATCTCGATCGCGTGCGGCACGATGCAAGTCCAGTTATTTTTGGGCACTTCAACTGGTTTTCAAACTCAGCTGCACTTTTGGCATACCAGTCATACTCGTGCATAGTCGTACACGTACACTGCCTTGACTTGAAAGGGCCAAGCAAAGTTTGCTTGCAAAAGATGGCCATTCCATTGGCAAGGTAATGGTGGCACTCACAAGCTTGAACCATGCCAAGTGGATGCAATAAAGTGTTTACTGCTTCAAGCACCTTTGGCATCTGCCACCGCAAATTCACTCTCAACTACCATACACAGAGTTGGGCGAGTCTGGCAACTGCACCGCAGGATAGAGCTAACAGTCCAAGGTAGCTGCAACCTCGAAACATCTTGAAACTGCCTGGGCTCCATGCTGCAATGCCTACTTGCTTCCGCGTTTTGGCTGGGCTTGAAAATCGTCATCTAGCAATGTGGAAACCGAGCTCCGACGGCAGGTGTGCTTTCAAGGGCGCAGCAGAGTGTGCGAAGCAGTGGTGAAGGTCAAAGCTGAATCAAGGGCTTGTAAGAGCAAAGGTCCTATTTCAGCTTGCTCGCTGCTAGCCCTTGAATGACATCGCGGAAACAGCGGATCTCGCACAGCAATCCATCCATCTCCATTTATCATCGAGACTTGTAGGGTTTGGCTTGGGAATACGGCGGTTGGGTTTAGAAGTGTTTGGAGACTTCGGAACACTCCAGCTTGAAGTTCTTCGGGCGGAAGCTAAGAAATCCATAGTTAAAACGAAAGCATTTCAGCTCTTTTAAGTCCTTGGCACAGTGCCAGGGGGCAGGCTCGCTTAACAGCAATCATTTCCGTGCTTCCGCTCAGCAAACAGCAGCTGGACGGGACATGCAACCAAACTTGCACCACAAGTGTTTTAAACCTTCCTGACTGTCAAAGCAAACCTTCCAGCAACAAAGCCCATCACAAGAGACACCAGCACGTCGACCCTACCGAGGGACTGTGGAACAGTGGCGCCCA